GCACATGGCCACCTAGTGAAAGTGTGTTGAAAGAATGAGTGAATGGCAAGAAGGGCAGGAAGGGATAGTGTTTACTCAGCTGGAGGCAGAGAATCTAACCTCACCTCCCTGATGAGACACAGAGTCCAACAGGAAAATGGAAAGTCATCCTCCTCTGCTGCAGCCTTTCACTCCGTCACTGAGCCCTGTTTCTCCTCTCTGAATCAGCCAAAGATAGAGACAAACACAGCAGAGAAAAACGGAAATAGAGAGAAGCATAGAGGCAGAGCAAGTAGAGAGATATGCAGCCAGACAAAGTCCAGAAAGGAAGAATGGAAGGGCGGAGACAAAGGAAGGAGACAAAGATCAGCAGGTGTCTGCAGGAGTTTGCAGGGAAGGAGGCCAGTCCCGGGCAGAGGGCTGCAGAAGTCTCAGAAGAAATAAAGAGAAGTAGAGACAGTGAGAGAAAGAGAAAACCAGACAGAGACAGACAGACCTGCAGATGAACAATCAGAAAGATCAGCACAGGAGACAAGCAGATTCAGAGAGAGAACTTCAGAGACCTACGTGTGTTGGCCGTGGTGTGGGGAGGAGGCCAGAGAGGAAATCTCTTAAAGCCTTGAGAAGCCCAGCTTGGAGCATGGCTGAAGCACCATGTAGAGAGGGCAGTGGTTCTGAACAGAGCACCTAGCTGAGCGTTTCTCAGGTAGGCAGAAGGAGGTGGAAAAAACAGAGTATTCAGACAAGGTGGCCCTCCCAGCTGGATACCCTGCAGCGATCACCTCTGGCCTCCCTCCAGCTGTCTGTCCTCTCCTGGCTGTGTTAGCCTCGCATCCTGTCAGACAAAGGCAGACTTGCTCCCCGGAGTGCGTCAGTGAGGGCTTTGTGGGCTGAGCAGGCAGACAGGTTATGTTGCAGCCATGGCTTGGGGACCATGGCATGGCAGGAAGGGTGGGGGATGGATGCTTCCTCTGGGGGTCTCACAGGAGAGATGACAATGAAGTCAGATTTGGGTGGGTTGGTTTGGAGATGGGCCACCAACAAACCAACTTCCCTATCAGCCTTGCCGTACTATGAGATGGAAGGGTTGGTGATCCTATAGGTTTGGGAAGAAACTAAAGACTCTGGCTGGACTGCACCTGTCTCCTAGCTCTGCCCCTACCCACACTGTTATTCTGACTCCTGTGAGCTCAGTTCTAGAATATTCTCTAGCTGATGACCTCCTCCCCCAACCCACACACATAGCAAGAAGGCTGACCCCAGTGTCTGCCCACTGAGCCCCAAACCTGAGCTGTGGCCAGGCTTCCTCCAGGCTCTCTTTCTGTTCTGAGGGCACTGTGAGGGATGTGGGGATGCTGGTGGGGCAGGGTACAGAGCCTGGAGCCTGGGAAGAGACTTGGTCTTAGCTCACTGGAGGGAGAGGGGCCAGCTGTCCCAGCCAGTGGCAGACGCAGGAGTGAGAGGAGTCGGGGTCAGATCTGGCTCTCAGTCAAGCCCCGCTACCAGCTCACTACATGCCCTTAGGCAATAGGCTGAACTTTCTTGTCTGTTGGGGAGGGGCTGGAGGAAAGGAACTAAGGCTAGTTCAATTTCATGATTCAGAGAAGCCACTTCCCACCTCTGCACCTTTGCTCAGCTTTGCTTCCACCAGAAAAGCCCCCGCCCACATCCCATTCTGGTGAAATTTGCCCTGTTTTCTAATTCTTCTAAACACCAACTCCTCCAGGAAGCTTTCCAGACTGATTCTCCCAGCTATCAGTAACTTCTCTCTCGTTTATGCTCTTTGATCCTCTCTTTGTGGTTTATCCTTCCTTGTTCCTGGTGTTATTTTCATTGCTCTCCCCAGCTCTTCTGGGTTCAAATGTGAGCCAATCCAGGCCAGATAGGTGGGGCAAGGGAAAAAACCCTGCAGCCCCAGGTTCAAGTTTCAGCTCTGCATGTTAACTTTATTGTAACACGGTGATGTGCTCTCACCCTTTTTAATAGGTGCAGAAAAATTGCTCAGAGAGGGCAAGTGACTCACCCAAAGTCACCCAGCAAATAGGCAGCAGAGTGGGGTCCAGACCGCAGCTCTGCGTGAAGCCCTTTCCTCTGTGGGTCAATAGCCTCTGGGCTTCCTCTGCCCTTCCACGGACCTTCCACTGGTGAGCCTTCACCCCCCTTGGGCACTTCTCCACTGGCTCCAGACAAAGCAAGCTGTTCTTTGGGTGCTAGTGACTGTGGAGCAGTGGGCAGTGTGTGTGTGAGGCAGAGGGGTGGGGAGCACAGTTATTCTCTCCTAGGCCAGGCCTTGCCTGCTGGGCCAAATCTCAGGCAGCTCTGAACCAAATGGAAGTCTTGCTTAGACCCCTTAATCAGGTGCCAGGCATCCAATACTTTGTCTGCTTTTGTCCCATTTTGTCCCTGTGCATTAGATAGAGGAGGTCGGCCAAGGTAGTCATTTTGTCCTTTCCTATGCTGAGAGGCAGGGGTCTTCCCATCAGTGTTAGAGGGGCTTGGACCTCAGCCACAATCTAGGGGAGGAGAGGAAGTAAACTTAGTCCCTGCTGCCCCTCATGGGCTGCAGCCCAGAGCCCTAAGCACTGATGCTTGGAATGATGGCGGTCACAACCCAACTCACCACACTGGAAACTCCCTGGAGGTGGGTTCTGATTTGGTCTATTCCTGAGGCCCCAGAACGCAGCACGGGCTGGGCAGGGGCAGGTATCGGGAAGGCTTAATACTAAGCTGTCCTCATCCCTCTCAGCGCCTCTCCCTCCACTTATTGCATTACTGCACTCCCTCCCACTGTTTCGAAAGCCTACTCTACCTGAGGACTGGAAACTTGATAAGGAGTGAGGTGGGGTACAACAGGGCCCTTAGGGAGTAAATATGAGCTCAGAGAGAGATGAGCTGGGACTAGTGGTTGGAGGAGGCAGCTGCTTATCTCTGAGCCTCAGGCTCTGTGTTTTAGGTCTAAGGAAACTGGCCTGTATTCTCTGCGAGTTCAGGGCTCGCTCTCCTCCATTCAGGCTTCGTCACTATTTTTAGGGTTATCTTGGGTCTAAATGGGTAGCCAGGGCCAGAACCGGGGACAGAAAGTCCCAGGACAGGATGCCTGACTCGGCTTGGAAACCACCAGAAGAAGTGCTTGGCCTCATCCCTCACCCTGCACAGACCTCCTTCGAGAAGCAGCAGCTGGGAGGCCTGCAACAGCTGGACCTCAAGCAAGCTGTTGTCCTTCCAACAGACCACTCAAGGGTTCTGCTGGGAGGAATTTCCCAAGGATAACAGCCGAGCCCAAGGCTGGGAGATTCCCCTTCTTGCCTTTGACTCTGCTCCCTCCAGAGCCCAGCCAGGCCACTCTGAGACCTGGAGCACTCAGGGCCCCCACACCACCCTGACCCCATCCTAAGCTTCCCCTGCCGCCCCTCCACACCCAGCGTGTTTTCTCCCTCCTTCAGTTTATCTCAATTCAGCAATCATATTTTTAAGGTGGACCAGGCCTTGAAAGATGAGAAGTGGTTTTCTGGGAAGACAGACATTCCAGGCTGAGTACGTGCAAATACTGAGAGGTAGGAAAAAATCAAGATGAATTTTGGGAATGGCAGGCATCTTCTGGGGCCAGAGACTATGTTTACTAAGGGTGGGTAGATGAGACAGAGTGGATCTCAAGGAACCTTGACCTCCCTGAGGCTGAAGCATCTGTACTTAGGAGTTGCAGATGGGGACCAGTGTTGAGGACTACAGTGGAACAGGCAGGGCATTTTCATGTGAGATGCTTCTCTCACTTCTAGATAAGGAAACTGAGGCTTAGAGAGGCCAAATAAGCTGCCCAAAGTCACGCAGCTACAACATGGGAAAAAAAAATCTGAATCCAAAGTTTCTGACCCAGAAGGTCAGGAACCTGACACCATCCATCAAGACACAGTACAGGACAGCCTCTGCCCAGGTCCATTCACTGCCTAATCAGATAAGAGGGGATATAAATAATGCCAGCAGGGGAATGACCAGGTTTGCAGCCCAGAGAAAAAGTTGAGGGAACTGACCCAGAAGAGGGTTTTATGGAGAGAGAGACAGCTGGCCTGGACCACAGGAGAGAGGCGGGGGTGGGAAAAAGGGTGTGGGGGTGGGGACAGCAGACAGAGAGAACCCAGGCAATCTAGGAGGTAGGAAGGGCTCAAGGCAGGAGTTGGCCATGATAAGGCCGACCTCCTCCCACCCCAGTCCCTCCAGAGAGAGTTATGTGCCATCATTAGGAGGGGTGGATTGCCCAAAATCCGCATCTGGGACTATTTCCTTTTGCGAGCTCAGGCTATGGGTGTGTTAGTGCTGGAGGCTGGTGGATTTTCCAAACACATCTTGGCTCCTTTGTGACACTGCAACTCCCCACTCCTTGGCACTGGAACATAGTTCCAGGATAGTTCCTCGTTTTGCTCTGTTCTCAGATGGGGCGCATGGTGGTGGGGTGGGGAGGGCTCCTCGGGCTCACTGGGCAAGTTTGCCCACCTGTGGCTTCTGTTACTTTCCACACAAAGTTCTGGCTTGAGGCTACACCCTCTCATGGGCTCTCCTGGGATCCCCCCTGGGTGTCCGCTGCCAGCCCAAACTCACCACATCGAAGGCTGAACTCACCACCACCCTACAATCCTGGCCCGCCATGGTGGTACTCTCTGTCGGAAGGGCGCATCTCTTCCCTGCCTCCAGGACTCAGCCTCTTGCACTCCTCACAGCTCCTTTCCCACCAAGCCCTGTTCATCCCACCTCTTCGCTGCGGCGCATCTACTCATCACTCTCCCTCTGCCACTACCTGGCCCAGTCCCATTACCTCTCACTCCCTTGGACTCCACTCCTGCTTGTAGCCTGACATCTCCAGAGACCAGCTCTGTCTCCGCCATGGTGACCCTGGGCAAGTCACGGCCCTCTCTGGCTCTGTTTCCTCACCCTCCAAAGGGTTAACCCCACCCTGGCTTCCTGTCCAATGGACTCCCCAGGCCCAGTGTTGCTGTGAAGTCACAGATGGGGAACCCCCAGGTAGGTATAGAGAGTCCACGAAGTGGGCCAGGCGGGCATCCCAAAGAGGCTCCAACAGGGCAAACTGCCACGTGCAGGCCCAGCAGCTTGGACCAACTGAGTATTGCCATATGGGCCCAGCATTGCCAGATCTGCTAATCTTCCAAAAAAAAAAAAAAATCTGGAGTTTTAAGTGAATTTTCCTGATTTCTAAAATGCTTGCAACTAACTTAAAAACACTCAGTAAGCCAGCATTGTACAAGCCCTCAAAAGATGTCTAGGAGTCAGTTGTGCCTCCAGGCAGGACTGCTGTGCACCGCACAACTCCAGAGGGAGCCATTCACCTCATGGCGCACAGCTCTCACCACTACATGGGCCAGGTCCTCCCAGTTGTAACCTCTGCCTTGTATCCTGTCTCTGCCAGTTACTTTGATGGCCTCAGCAAAGTACATGTGGTGGCAAGTGTGTGTGTGTGGGGGGGGCGCTTTCCTTCTCTTTCACAGAGAAATAATTAGGAAAAAACCCAAAAAACTTCTGGAATGCAGCTGGTGGGGTTGGGGTGGGGAGAGAGGAGAAGAGGCAGCAGAAGGTTGGAGAGGCTTCAGAGATCAGGAGGAGATGAGAGAGTAATGCTGGGGCTGCTATTCCACAGGATGGAAAACAAGTTATTCTGAGGCCTGGTGGCCACGCCTGGAAGTAGACTTCCTGGTGAGTTTGGGGTAAAGGCTGATAAAACTGGCACTTGGGAGGCATCTCGGAGTTGCGAAAGGACATTATTCTGTGTGACCCTCACGCAGGCTTGAGAGGTAAGACTATTATCCTACTTTACAGAGGCTCTGAGAGGTCTAATTGCTGGCCCCAGGCCGTGCCAGGTCTAAGTGACCCTAGATCTTGCTCCCTCCGCTAAGGGTGGAACTTCTGCAGAGAAAGTGTCATTGCCCTGTCTCTCCTTGATCCAAGACCTCCTCCTTCATCCTCAGGATGTGAGAGCTCTTGGCATTTCTTTGTACATTCCTCCTAATAGGTTAACTCTGGGCCTTTGTTATGAGTCCTGAACTCCCACCACACTCAGGTCCGCTGGACTGGGGGCCACATGTGCTTCTCGCTACATTTCTCTTTCCAGCCTTGCCCTGACAGTGCTCTCTGAGGCCATCAGAAGGGGATGTTGACTGATTAATGAACGGACTGACTGACTGACTGACTGACTGACTGACTGACTAGCTAAAGAATCAGTTGGTAAAATGGCAGACTGTCCCTATATAACTACCTTTGACAATTCACAGGAAGGAAGCCGCCCCGGATAAAGAAATGGCTACATAGGGATTATTTTTGCATATATTCTAAGGCTATCATTATAGCCATCATCTTGTGGTTGGTGTTGGGGACCCAGGAGTCAGAAAGATCTGGGGTCCAGCCCAGGCTTTACTATTTACTAGCCCTGGGACCCTGGATAACTCACCTCCTCTCTCTGTGCCTCGGTTTCCTCATCTGTATTATGGAGCCACAGCCGCCACCTCAAAGGGTTGGTAGGAAGATGGATGAATGTCCAGCCAGGGAGCCCCTAGGCTCCTTTACTGGGGCTGCTTACTGTTGAGGGTCAGGGAAGCCATAGAGCTGGGTTTCCCAGCCCCACACCTTCCCAGCCCTTGGGGTTGATCTTTTTCCAGTTCTCAGGTTCTAGAAGTGACATTGCTCCTTGTTTTCACAAAGCAAGTATGGAAGCAGGCAGGGTGTTTGTGGCAGGACAGACATTTGACTTGACAGAAAGACTGGCTGCCTGACTGAGAAGAAAACAAAGTTCACTGAAAACCTGCTATGCATCTTGTCTGTGCTGGCTCCCCACTCATTACTAACACAACCTGTTCATAAGACAAAGTCTATTGTTTACCACGATAAGGGACAATGCTATTCTCAAAGCTTTGACAGTGTCTCGGAGTGGGAGGAAAGGTCGGTATTTGTTGAGAATTGAAAGTTTGTTTTAAGGCAGTCCTTCAGCGCAGGGAGGGAGGCGGGTGAGGGGAGTCTGACTAGGACTGGGTAAGAGTTGTGATCCAACAGCCCAGGATTTGTGGATGGAAACAGCAAAGAAAGGGTTTTGTGGGCAGAGATTCAAAAAATTTGAAGGAACACATTCTGTTGATGGTTTCCCTTGAAAAGTCGATTGGTCTTTCAGGAAGTTTCTGTAATAAACAATCAAGCCATTTGCTTGGTCTGGAGGGTCTGGGACGAGTAAGAAGGAAAAATGCTAATGAAGACAGTGGAATATCAAGTACGAGTTAATGTGGACATTAAGGTATGTTTTCAGGCTTTCTGTGTCCAAGCTGAATGGGGGGTAGAAGAGCCTGGTTCCTAGTGGACTCTGTCCACACTGGGAAGTAGGGATCATTGTCCCCGCATTGTGGATGAGGAGGCCAACGGGCCACTGGCCCAAGGCCACACAGCAGGATTGCATGCAGCTGGGGGATTCAAACCTGGGCGGCTGCCTCCAAAGATAGTGAGCCTACATGGAGCGAAGGGGTCCAGGTCCTCAGGTCTTGTGGTTGACTGGGGCTTGGATGAGAGGGAGAGAGATAATCCAGAGATGGTGTTAACTTGGAGGATCCAGGTGTGCATGGAGGGAAATGGGTTCAAGTGGGCCTTGTGCTCTCGGAGGCAGTTGAATGTTATCAGGAGAAGGGAGGGCAGTGGTCCTCAGTGGGGCCTGTCGCGTACTATGTCTGGGCTAGGCACCCTAGATGCCTTATCTCGTTAAGATAGATGCTGTATCTTCACATTACAGATGAGGAAACAAGCTCAGAAAGATGAAGGGTCTTGTTCAGGCTCACAGAGCAGGCTCATGGCAGAGGGTTTGGGGACTTGAAGCCCACCATCTGCCTGGGATTTGCTGTTGGCAACTGGGAGGTGATGGAGAAGGCAGGACCTCGAGCCTTTCCAGCAAAGAGCAGGTGGGAAAGGTGGCCCTCTCTCTCGGATTGTTCTCTGAAACCTTGGCTCTCATCACCTGGACTCAGCTGGTGTGAAGAATGCCGACTTCTGCCCAAGGAGGGGCTAGCTAGAGGTAGGCCCTCTACCTCGCGACCTCCTGAGTCTGATTGAACTGGTAAATAAGGTCTCTGACTGACAGTTTCAGGGCGACTGTCTGACCAGCTTGTTGAGTAGCTGTAGGCAGGTGGCCGACTGGCAGCTCAAACAGACAAGTCTCCTGAAAGACAAGCCAAACCAATGACTTGATGGACATGAGTGTGCCTGTGCAAATGACCAGCAATGTAACCCACTTACAGGCACACGGACTCCTTGCCCCGCAGCTCTGGGGCTGCGGGCTCCAGCTCTTGGAACTACCTGGCCAACCTGGGGCTCTAAAACTTATTTGCCTACCTGGGAGAGAAAGGAGCTAAGATTTTTACCTAGGGCCTGGCTCCCTGCCTCATGCCTCATCCCCGGCCCAGATGAAGTTTTCTCTCACAGCTGCGTCCCTCCTGTCAGGCTGGCCCCTGACTGTCTTCACAGGATGGGAAGGACCTCAGAGACAGCACACAAGGAGGACAGGAAGTCCTGGACTCAGGACCCTCCTTCTGAGGGGTGTTTTGTGCTATCTCAGGGAGTGGGACTGTTTGCTGCCAGCCCTTCAGTAGAGACCTCAGTCCACAGAAAGGGCTTAGGGGAGACAACAATCTTCCTGACCAGCCCCGTTCAGTGAACAACTACTACCAACACACTGACTGATGGCTAATCTCAAACCCAGGGGGTCAGAGCCAGTGCTTCCCTCTTTGCTCAGAGACTCAGGCTGTGGACTGGGCCACAGGGAGGTAAAAAGTTCTGAACTGGTCTGCCGGCCTTCTGTCCCTCTCCCTCATCTACCCCCTGGTTTTCTGTTAGAGCTGGGGCTCCAGGTCAGTGACTTTTGCCCTCCCAGCCTCAGCTCCAGCCCCATCATCTGGCTGGCCTGGCCCCATGGGTGGTGGGCACTGCTACCTTCTGCGTGGCCTGGCTAGGTTTGGTTGGGCTGAGACAAAGAAGAGAACTGTGCTTCCTCCCCTCATCAAACCTGTACAAGGAGCATCAAGTGATATTGAAGTTAACACCTGGGCTCAAGTCCTTGCACCAATGTCAACCAGCAGAGCTAGTTACCTCTGAGCCTGGACATCCTCATCAGAAGCGTAGAGACAACGAAAGCACCAAAGGCACAGAGCTATAGACAGTCTTCATGAGCATGTAGAGTATGTAGCAGAGCATCTGTGCTGTAGCAGGTAACCGACCAGTCCTTGCTGGATGAGTTTGCTTAGAACCTCTTACCTCCTCTTCTCCTTCAAAGTGACCTCTGCAGAGTACCACTTATCCTCTTTTACTAAGCCAACCCCTTATCTCCTCTCTCTCAGGTATTGTTTTTGTTTTAATAACTCCTGTTTCCTCTGAGTGCTTATGCCCCCAAAAGGGACTTCTCCCCAGCCACACACACTTTCATTTTCTCAGCCCAACTCCCCTAGCTATTTGAACAGACATTTCTCTAATGGCCAATAAGCACATGAAAAGATGCTCAACATCATTAGTCATTAGAGAAATGCAAATCAAAACCACATGAGATATCACTTCATATTCACGAGGATGGCTATAATCAAAAAGACAGACAATAATAAGTATTAGCAAGAATGGAGAGAAATTGGAACCATCACACATTGTTGGCAGGAGTATAAAGTGGTGCAACCACTTGGGAAAACTGGTAGGCAGTTCCTCAAAAGGTTAAACATAGAGTTATCATATGATCCGGGAATTCCATTCCCAAGAGAACTAAGAACGTATGTCTCTGTAAAAATTTGTACACAAATGTTCAGAATACCCGAAACAACTCAAATGTCTATCTGAATGAACGAAACGTGATACGTACCCACACAATGGAATATTATCAAACCATCAAAAGGAATGAAGTATTGATATGTGCTATAACATGGATGAACCTTGAAACACTATGCCAAGTAAAAGAAACCAGTCACAAAGTCCATATATCCTATGATTTCATTTATATGAATTTATATAAAATATCTGGAATAGGCAAACCCAGAGAGCCAGAAAATGGATTAGTGGTTGCCAGGAGCTGAGAGAGGGAAGAATGGGGAGTGACTGATAATGGGTATGGGATTTCTTATTGGGCTGATAAAAACATTCTGGAATTAGATGGTGGTGATGTTGTATAACTTTTTGACCATACGAAACCTTCCAGAATTGTGTACTTTAAAGGGGTGGATTTTATGGTATGTGAATCATATCTCAATTTTTAAAAAATTCTTCAGGCTACTAGTGTGAGGACCACAAATCCTCTGCTCATGGCAGTTCCAAGCCTCTGTAGCCCCTCCCTGAGTTTGCCTTCTAGGTCTAGAGATACTCGAGAGTCTCCAGCCCCATCTCTTGTCAGAGTTGTCCTCAGGTCTGTTTCCAGGCTCTAGAAGGAGCTTATTGAATGAGAGGAAACTCCTGCTAGGTTGAGAGGAATATGAAACAATGGAAGAGGCTTCCGCGGGAAGTTGGGCCCCACGAGGAGAGGAAGGTCAAGGAGGCCTGGGCTGTCAGGAGGTACAGGTGATTTCCATCTAAGGGAAGGGGTAGAGTGTCCCAAGGCTGGACTTCCAGGAGACCTTAGGAGATGCTTCTTAAGGGACTCAGCTTTCTCCTTGCTGCATTGAGTGGGTTACTGACACGGTTACCATGGCCGCCATGGGAGAAAACCCACATGTGTAATGGGGCTGAGGGTCCAGGTTCTGCCACAGCTCTGCCTCTTGAGTCACTGCCCTTATTGGGGCCTCAGTTTGTTTGGTGGGAGGGGGTTCAAATGGGATGACCTCTGAAGGCTCTTTCTGCACTGATCAGCAAAACGGTTTGATGTATTATTTGGGGACTAGGCTGGTTAGCTCAGTGATTACATGCAGGGCAATGCCCTGTGGGGGTGTTGGTTTCTGTTCCCAACTACCCCAGGAAAACCTTTATTCCCTGACTATGGACCAAGACTTGACTCTGCACCTGGCCCCAGACATCTGATCTTAGACTAAGCCAGACAGACCCAGACTCAGCCTCCAGGAACACTGATGTCTCACAGCTGTAAGCCCAAGGGGAACTGAGACTGTGTATTCCCACCACTGGGGCCACTGCTCTAAGGTTGTGTGGTGGGTCAGCAGCTTCTCTCTAGAAGGAAGTGTGAAACAGGTAGTCCCAGTTGGTATGTGGCCAGTGTCGGCACAAGGAGCATACGCCCTTTTTTAGGAAAGAATTTCCAGCTCCCAGGACTCAGGAAGGCTGAAGGTGCTTTGACTTTTAGATCCTCACCAACCCCTGAAATACCTTGGGCTACCTGGCTCAAGGCCATTCTCTGGGATTCCACTGCTACTCTCACTCCCTGGCTGTCTGTCCCACAGGGCCAATGGGTGAGGAGGCCCAGCTGTCAGACAAGGACACCAAAGCCACAATGGGCATAGAAGACACACGTGGAGGCAAAGTCAGCCCAGATTCTCAGAACTTGCGGCCAAGTGTGTTCCACAGTATCAAGGTACCTTTCGGGGCCTGGCAGTGGCAGGGCCATTCAAGCCTGACAGAGGAGGCTCTGCCACTTACTGGCTATGTAATTAATGCCAAGCAAGGTGCTGCCTTTCTGAGCCTCAGTTTCCTCATCCGTAGATTGGGTAGCTGTGAGGATCAAAGGGATGATCTACGAAAGCACTTAGCTTGGTTTTGGGCACATGGAAGATGCCCAATACATAGTCTCTCCTTCCAGAGATTAAAGAGGGGCTGCTCTGTGGCAGTGGGGTCCAGTCTCCCTACCTCCCTTTTACCCAGAGGGAAAGAAAAGAACTACACTGATCCTAAACCTGTGTGGGGAGTTCTGGCTCCACCAAGGGCAGCCCTCAACATCCAAGCATCCCCTGGCAACTCCAGGGTGCCAGGTCCTGTACCAAGTGCTATTTTCACATAATCTTATCGAGTTCTCACAGTAACCCTGGGGGGTAGGGATATTGTCTTTTCTGAGACTCAGAAGAACAGGGTGAATGTTATTAAGCTTTGGCTTATAAACTATTTTTTAATCCTTTGAAACTAGTTTTTCTTTTCTTAGGAATTCTGCCAGTTTTTTAGGAAGCAGGAAGGGATGTTTAGGCTAGGTTTGTATAGGATAGGGTGGGCGGCTTGGGGATTCAGTGTGTGTAGGTGGCCTTCCAGGGGAACTCTAGGAGAGGAGGGGGTGGGGGGCATGGGTCAGAAGTGGGGGTAGATGTGGAGAAGGATCTGGGATAGCTTCCTGGAGAAAGAGGAGGGTGGTGGAACAGGGAGGAAGGTCTAGCCTCAGCCTTGGAGCTGAGGGTCAGAGGGGGCTCCCACCATCCTAAGCCCCATGAAGACCCTTGTAGTCATGTAGGTTTGAGTAGCCCTCAGGCCCCTGAGTCGTACCCAGGACAGCTTTTCTAGTTTTTAGGTCTGTGTGAGAAGCTGTGGATACTCCAGTAACTAACTAAGTAACCCTCTCTCTCTCTTCCTCTCCCTCTCCTTTTGTTCTCGACCCTCCTTTCTTGTTCTCTCTCCTCCTGTGTGTCTGTCTCCCCTGACTCTGTTTCCCCCTTTCTACTCCTTGTTCTTCTCGTGGTCTCACTCTCCCTCTTTCCCCAACTCTGTCTCTGTCCCTCCTCCACTACCTCCTTTGACTATCTCACCACTGTGTCCCTGTCCCTCTGCCCATTGTCATCCCTGTGGTCCCTCCCTCCGGCAGTTCTTCCTCCTGTGCCACAGCCTGCTGCAGCTGGTGCAGCTCATGATCTCCGGCTACCTCAAGAGCTCCATCTCCACAGTGGAGAAGCGCTTTGGCCTCTCTAGCCAGACCTCAGGACTGCTGGTTGCCTTCAATGAGGTACTGGCCCTGGCCCAGCCCCAGGGGTGGGCATTGAGGGAGAGTGGCACCCCCACTGCCCCCCATCCTCCTCTCTCACCACCCCAACAAGAGCCCTTCCCCTCCCAGTGCCTGCAGACATCATCATCACAGCTCCCTCCCCCAAACTTCCTTAGTCAGCTCCTTCTGCATTGTCTTGGCCAATAAACCAACAAGTCATGTTAGGACAAGGCCTAGCAAGGCAACCTCCCCGTCCCTGTAAAGTTACAGGATTGGCAAGCCTGCCCTTCGGGGCACTTAAAGTTAGCCAGGGTCTCCGTATCTATCCACTTTCCCTTTGGTTCCTTTTTCTTCTCAGGCACCTGGCTATTGCCCATCCCAGGAACGAATCAGAGGAAGTCACTTCAATAGTAATGAGAGAGGTTTAAATTAGATCAAAGGCAGAACTCTGGAACCTTGGGGTGGTAAGGGAGAGAGCGATAACACCCTCAGAGTTGCCTAGAGATCCACAGGCCAAGCTTGGAGGTGTAGACAAACTGCTTTGGGTGGATTTGTAAATCGGAGTCCGGCTGCGTGCAGCCCCTCCCCCACCACAGGTTTGGAGAAGGCTGCTGTCCAGAGAACACTTTATTTCTTTTTCATCTCCAGCAGATTTCTGTGAAATTCTCTTCCCCTTGGGTGATATGTCATATTCCTCTCATCCCAAGGCCTGCCAGCTACACAAAGTCCCCAGTGTTCTTCAGACCCCACCTCCAGATTTCAGAGGTGGGAAGGGAGCGTCATTACCTAGCTTTGAGACCTTGGGCAAGTCACTCTCTGTCTCTGGGCCTGTGTCCCATCTATAAAATGGAGAGTGGCTGTCCTTCCCAGAGTCAGTCCTCCCACCAACCCTCTGTTGACACTATCCCACTCCCCCATTAGAGGAACTGAAGACCTTGCCCACAGTCAGCAGCCAGTAAGCAGTGGACTGGGGTGCACACCCCAGCTTCTGATGGCAGAGCCTGCTCCTTCCTTGCAGGCTCTCAAATCTCCTCCAGCGCTCACATCCTAGGATTTTTATTCTAAGGCTCAAAATTCCAAGCCGTAGTCCTCTGGCTTTAGACTCCCTTTATTTGTTTCTCTCATTTATGATGTCCCAGAAACTCAAAACCCCTTCCTTTGACTGTCCCCCATATATTCCAATATGGGATCCAACTCGTGTTCTAGAATGAAATTGAATTTCTAGCCTTATCTGCTCTCATTTCTCTCCCTTAATAGGGCAGTGGGGCCCTTCCCAGGAAGACCTAGAATCTAAATTTATAAGAGGGACCCAGATGATTCTTATTCAGCCAGCTGGTCCATTATACAGATGAGAACACTTAGGTTGGCGATAGAGGCACAGATGGTGCAGGCCTCCGGCTCTGGGCTCTGTTCCACTTTAATGGGTCCCTTCATCCTTTTGCAGGTAGGGAACACAGCCCTGATTGTGTTTGTGAGCTATTTCGGCAGCCGTGTGCACCGCCCCCGACTGATTGGCTGCGGGGCTATCCTGGTGGCCCTGGGGGCCCTGCTCATGAGTCTCCCACACTTCATCTCGGAGCCATACCGCTACGACCGCACCAGCCCCGGTAAGAGCGAGAGGTGGATGTAGGAGCAGCATTATTGGGGCCCATCCCCAGGCCTTCATCGATCAGGATGGGCCCAGCCGCCCAGGGCATCTGCTGGTCGTCCCCACTCCACCTCCAATGCCTCCTCAGTCCCAGCCTGGGTGGGTTCATCAGGTGGTCCTAGGGAGTGGGACAGGAGGGTGAGGCTCTCTGGGGCAGTCTTAGTGAGGGCTTGCTTGGATGTCACTGCTTTTCTTGAGGTGGGGGTGAATTTACAACACGGTCTACTTTGGGACCTGGCAGTAGTAGGTCCTCAGGGAATGTGTGTGGAATAATAACAGTAACTTATACCACTTACTATGCACCAGACACAGTTCTAAGCACTTTATGTGTATTAATGCATTTAATCCTTATAAGAAGCCAAGAAGGTAATGAAAAAAAAGAATGAATGAGCGAATAAACAAATTAAAAAATGAAAAGATTTTAAACAGAGATAATGTAGCCCTTTTTCAGCCTACTTGACAGATGGATACCTGTCCCTTAAGAATGACCCAAGCAGACTGAGCATTTGCTTCATTCCTTCCTTCTCTCATCCACCCATTTACCCATCCGTCTACCACCCCTCATCCATCCATCCACCCACCACTCACCACTCTTCATGTTTACAACCCTACGAGCCGGTGTTATCATGATCCCACTTTACAAGTGAGGGAACCGAGGTCCAGAGAAGGAAGGACTTTCCTAAGGTCCACGGCTAGTGGAATTATGGCACGCACACCTAGGTGGCCTGGACCTGGAACTCCTGCACTGAGCTACTGAATCCTTGTGTTTCTGAATTCCATGTTTTTATAGAACTTCCATTCTAGGAGACTCTTTTGAGAGATGAGGAAACTGAGGCCCAGAGAAGCTGAAAAGTTTCAGTCTTCAACCCAGGCAGCCTCAGTTGAAGGCCTGGGTCCTTGACCTTGGTTCACCCAACTTTTTCTCCTGGAAAGGGCTGGGCAGGCTACAGAGAGAAGGCCACCTCTAGACCTACACTTGGGATAATAATAGCATGAAGGTCTCTTTAAGTCTGCTCACCAAATACTGGTGAACTACAGGGAACAAATGTCTGGTACTAAATTAAGAAATGCCCCTTTACTGCACTCTGCATCTGTGTCCCAAGCTGACACTGAGCCCTGCTCAGAATGAAGGCTGGGGGCACTACAGCCCTCCACAACCTGCCCTGCCCTGCCCTGCCCTGCCCTGCCTTTAGCCCTGGTCCCTCACACTGTGTGGGCCAGTCATGCTAAACTTCTCAAGCCCCTGGGTTTGCATGTACTGTGACCTCTCCCTGGAACAACCCTCCCTACCTTCTTTTTCTGGAAAATCTTGTTTGTCCTTGACTCAGTTCAAACTCAACCTCCTTTGACAGCCCCACCCCACCCAAAAGCCAACATTGCCATGTTGCCATGGCATTTCTACACACCTCTGCTCAGAAAGGTGGCATAGGGTGGTTTAAGGGCATGGACTCAAAGCCAAACTGCTTGGATTCCAATCCTGGCTCTACCCTTGCTAGTTGCTTCCTGACCATCATTCTCCTCATCTGTGAAGTAAGAGTAATGAGAGCACCCATCCCCTAGGTTTCTTGTCGGGGGGTCAAATGATTTAAATACACACACTTAGAACAGTATCTTGGATCCAAGAAGTGTTATGTAAAAGTTTTAGCTATTGACATAATATTTTTTATCATCTCTCAGTGGACACGCCACAGGATTTCAAGGCTTCCCTGTGCCTGCCCATGACCTCGGCCCTGGCCTCAACCCTCTCCAACAGCAGCTGCTCAAGCTACACGGAGGCCCAGCATCTGGCCTTGGTGGGGATAATGTTCACAGCACAGACTCTGCTCGGGGTGGGCGGTGTGCCCATCCAGCCCTTTGGCATCTCCTATATTGATGACTTTGCCCACGACAGCAACTCACCCCTCTACCTTGGTGAGGACTGGTCCCACCCTTCAGGCTCTGAGGAGGGAGCCAGGTTCAGGAGGGAGGATAGGAGGCCCTGAGTGAGGGGGTGGCTGGGCATGAGTCCATGACCTCTGTCCCATGTGGCCAGTAAAGGTCCAGAGCAGTCCTGGAAGGTTGTCTGGGCCCAACTAAGGAAGACAGGCTGCTCTTGTCCATTGGATAGGCACCAACCTGCAGAGAGAAGCTAAGGTGACCTAACCTAGGCTTTGTGTTACAGGGATCCTGTTTGCTGTGACAATGATGGGGCCAGGCCTGGCCTATGGACTGGGTGGCTTCATCCTGCGCCTTTATGTGGACATTGACCGAATGCCAGAAGGTGAGCCCCAAGAGTACACAGGTGACCCCAGGGCACACAGACACTAGCTAACTGACTGCTGGTCTCATAGGAGACACTGAGTCAGGGGGCCCAGGTTCAACTCTCAGCAATTCCACTGACTTTGGACATGACTCTTAACTTCTCTTGAGCTTCAGCCTTTTCATCTTTGAGATCATCTTTGTCCTGTCCACCTCCCAAAGCCACAACCAGAATCCAGTGAGATGATGGAGATAAGCTGTAAAATGCCATCTGATGAGGAGCTGTGGTTGTCATCCCTGCTATTATTATGAGTCTTCACCTTGTTCCATCCCTGAGTCCCCCAGGTACTTAGCCCCATGCTCAGATATGCTATTGGCAGACAGGGGCACAGGCCTCTTGGCTTGCAGGGGGCTCCCATCTTTAGGGGGAACAAGACCCAGGTGAAACACAGAGGACAGTGTGAGAGAACTTTTGGAGCACGACTCAGTTCCCTTTGGCCTCTCTCTGATGGCAAATTTCCTGGGTGACCCCTGAGGACTCCTCTATTCTTGACCCTCTCAGAGTCTGGGAACATGTGCTGAGGGCACTATTTGGGGAACGGTGGTCTCTGACTCAGATAGTATCAAAGTGGGCCAAGGAGTGGGATGAAAGCTTGGTACGAAGGCAGCCAGGAGGGAGGAGTTTTGGGGGGTCCTGGCACCCTGGCACTCTGCAGGGAGTGAGAGAGGATTCCTTTTAGAATAGGTCTCTATGGCATCTCAGCTGCCTGCTTGTCATACCAAGTGGCTTTGCCCCAACTATGCCTTCTGCTTTCTGCTGCTCTGAAGTTCCATCCTTCACATGGAGATTTTCCAGAGAGCCCTGGAAGCTTCAGGTGATACACCTATAGATGAATAGACATGCTACTTCTGCTTCTTATTCTCCGGCTTTTGCCAAGGGTGCCTTGAGGCCAGGACAGATCTAGGAAGCTCTGAACAAGAGTGCTAGGGCAGCCCCACCTCCCCACCCCTCCTAGAAACCTGGGCCCAGGAACCAAGTGTGAGCTATGCTTGCAGCTCCTGTCCACTTGAAGGACAAGTCCTGGGAGTCAGAGCTTCCCTAGATTTCCCAGACATACCCCAGCTCAGAGCAAGGAGGTATGTTTTCTGGCTCTGTTGACATTATGTAAGAAGTGGCACCTCCACAGGCAGACATGACGCTCTCGTGGACCCAGTCCTTTCTCTCTAGGGGATTTCATGGGGTAGGGAGATTTCATGGGGTAGGCGGATCATGTCTGCTACAGGCACAGACTGGTATGTGAGGAGCAGAGGAGTTGAGAAGATACATGTGTGAGCTCCCCAGCATGGCACAAGAAGCAGGGGAATATTAAGTGGAGGAGGGAATCGACTGCGTACTCTGGCCCCTGCTCAGGAGGAGTTCAGGATCAAGTTCCTGGGAACCAGTCTGACTCACGGGGCTGCTGTCATCATGCATCTGTATAGTTATAAAGTGTTTCTGGGTACTGTGGTGATTGAAGGAGGAGGTACCCAACAGAGCCTTGGGGTCAAGAAGGAGATGGGGGCACTACAGCCAGCAGGTACATCTAGGATAATCTAGTCTTAATTATACCTGGTGGGGGATCAAAATCACCTGTAGAACTTGTTAAAGGTACAGACTCCTTGGTAACCTTCCTACCCCACCCTGTGTTAGTTCCACATTGGTCTTGGGTAACTGGGTATTTTTGATAAGCACCCCTGGTGATTTTAATCATCCTGCAGGTCTGAGAGCCACAAGAGTGGTCTTAACCATCAATTTAATAATAATAATCACCATAGTAACAGTAAAATGAAGAAGAGCAAACATCTCCATAGAACATACTATGTGCCAGAACTATTCTAAGTGCTTTTTACGTGTATTCGTTTCTATGATTCTCACAGCTCTCTGATGTAGGTACTACTACTATTTTCCTTACAGAGCAAGAAACTGTGACACAGAGAAGTTAAGTAACTTGTCCAAAGTTATGTTAGTAATGAAATTCAGACCGAGCTGTCCATTTCCAAAGTTTATGACCTTGACTACTGCACACATTGCCTTAGTTGCTGAAAAAAACCAAGGCACACAAAGGGTCAAGTACTTGCCCAAAGTCATGCAGGACATAACCGGCAGAGCCAGAACCATAACTCAGGTCTCCTGACTCCCTCAGAAGCCAGCCCCAGGGTGGTGGCCAAGAAGTAATGGCCCATCCTGATCCTAATATCACCATGGTCTTCTCTTTCAGGTGGTATCAGCCTGACCTCGAAGGACCCCCGATGGGTGGGTGCCTGGTGGCTGGGCTTCCTCATCTCTGCTGGCGCCATGGCCTTGGCTGCCACCCCCTACTTCTTCTTCCCTAGAAAAATGCCCAAGGAGAAGAATGAGCTTCACTTCCGGCGAAGAGTCTTGGCAATTATCAGCAAAGTAAGCTTTCTCCATGTCCCAACCCTAGTCCAGGCTCCAGCCCCCACTCACTTGTCCTCCTTTGTAACATTAAATTTCTTCCCCCCGGGCACTGTGCTTCATAGCTTACAAAGCCATCCCTGTCAGGATCCACTGCATCCCCCACAACAGCCCTGCACAGTATTTCCTGCCCCTCCCACAGCTGAGGGAATCAAGAGCCAGAGATGGAAATGACCAGCCCAAGATCACAAGGCTAGCGAGGACAGCCCTGGGTTGAGAATCCAAGCTTGTCTGAGCCCCTGCCCCTCACTTTAACCACTATACTACTGCCTCTCTACTTGTCACTTAAAAGTTTTTTGAAAATTCTGAACATGCTATAGCAATGTTAGGAAACTGGGAGGAAGTGGTGGGTGCGTGGGAGGTCTGGGAAGAGTTCTCTGAAGAGGAAGGTTTTGAGATGGACTTTCAAGGATGCGTGGAAAGGTTGAAAAGAGAGGGAGGGGCATTCTAGCTGTGGAAACAGTCTGGGCAGAAGATTTGGCTATAGAAATGAATCTTACCTTTTCAGGGACAGTGAGGAGACAAACATGTATTAAATGCCTCCCCTGGGCCAGGCATCAGGGTGGACACTGGAGCTCAGAACATGGTATCTACTCTTAAAACAGGCACAGCTTAGTCAGGATAAGTAACAACCGTAAGTTGTTCCAGGGATATCTCAACTGAATCCCCCTGCTTGGCTTATGGGGCAGGTGGTTTTTCCTCAGAGAAGGATACTGAGGCCCAGCGGGTGCAAGGATACGCCAAGTGGTAAGAGAAGACAGGACCCTGTGAGCCCCTGGGCAGGAGAGGTGATTCCAGGCTGGGAGCCTCCACGTTTCCCAGGGACACAAAAACATAAGGCCTGAAGAACAATAAAATGCTTCCAAAATACAAAAGAAAATGACAAAATAGAAATGATTTATAAATGCTCAATTATGTCACTAATGTCAATGTCATTCATTCATATACATTTTATTACATTCTGAAAACTTGTGCATTAGATTTTCTCTTTTCTCAAGTATGGGAATATAAAGAAAAAGCACCTATGTGTTTCCTCTTTACTCATACACATAGCGCTTCTATGTTTATAGGTGTGTGGTTATTCCCACATTGACCAATTCTCTGTGACACCCACTGGGTGTCTTATAGTTTAACTCCATTCTGACACTGTGTACACAGTGATAGTGTCAGAATCCCATGACACTGCCCCCACTTCAGACACTAATCACAAGTAGTAGATCCCCAGGTTACCCATAACATCTGCCCAACTTGGCTACAAATCTATGGTTTCCACACTGCCCTCCTTGTGGGGAAAATTCCATTATTTTCTAGAGCAGCTCACAGAACTCAGGGAAACACGCTTACCAGTTTACTGCATAATAAAGGATATGATAAAGGATACAGATGAACAACTAGATGAAGAGATACATAAGGTGAGGTCTGGGAGGCCCAGAGAGCAGGAGCTTCTGTCACCGTGGAGTTGGGGTGCATAAACCCCCGGCACATGGATGTGTTCACTGATGTGGAAATTCCCTGAACCCCATACTATTGGGATTTTTATAGAGGCTTCATCACACGGGTATGATCAGTTATTAACTCCATTCCCAGCTCCTCTCCCCTCTCTGGAGAATGGGGATAGGGCTGAAAATTCCAAGCTTCTAATCATGGCTTGGTCCATCTGGTGACCAGCTCTCATCTAGGAGTCCACCAAAGTCTCCTATTTAAAACAAAAGATGCTGCTATCACTTAGGAAATTCCAAAGATCTTAGCAGCTCTGTGTCAGGAACCAGGGTCAAAGACTAAATATGAGAACAAAAGATTCTCCTGGCACACCCATTTATAAGTGTTTTAGGGGCTCTCTGTCAGGAGCTGGGGTCAGAGACCTGTATATATTTTCACAGGGAAGTAATTGTTGAGAAATCATAATCATAAATTAAGTTAGTTGTTGCTAAGTCTAATTTCAAAGGGACAATTTATAAAAATCCTGTTGAATATTTTGCAGCAAGAATAATGCTATCTAATGTGACAGGTCAGCGCATTTGAATATATTTGCTGTAATATATGATAGGGCCTCCTTCTTAGAGCAAGAAAATTTGGGCCTAGGAGGAAGGGCTGAAAATATCTCTGCCTAGAAAAGCTGGAACTTGAGCCCAAGTCTGTCTGACTACAGACCCGGCTGCTCTATGAACCTCGCCACCCTATCCGACCCCCTGGTTTCTTTGGAGAACCAAAGAAAAATGATGTTGGAACAGCCAGAGGGGAAGAGGAAAAGCCTTGCCTGCTAGCTTTAAGAGCAGTGGGCGACCCTGGAAGGAGGGTAAACAGTGGGTCCCATGGCTTTATCACCAGATACTAGACAGAGAAAGGATTACAAGGGACAGAGGAGTGCAAAGGGTGGCTGGGGGCAGGGAGTCCAATGCGACAGCTGTGGCATTGGTCCAGGCAGGAACCAGGGCATTGGCAGTGAGGTGGGGCATGGAGATGTGTCCAGAAGCCACCCAAGAGGGACTCTGCACAGACCTGTGTGCTGCTCTGCTATGGGAACATCCCAGAGACAGTGAAGGGCTGGGCTGATGCTGGCTCAGAGGCAGGGGAAGGCAGGCGCTGGAGAGGGACCAGTTTTAGGGGAAGAGGAAAGCTTGGAACCACAGATGGTCCTTCCTGGTTTTGCCTAGCTCAGGCCAAAATTTGAATGAGTTAGTCTTCCTAGAATTTGGGGAAGAGTTCTTAGGAATGGGGGTAAGAATAGATGAAAGGGAAAGCCCGGGTTGTGGGTTATGGGTAATCTCCAAGTTGAGTCTTAAATGTGAACAGAAAGAACAGCCACTTGGGCCATGGGGTGGAAGAAACTTGTCACCGCTGGTCTCAGTCACATGTTTGTTGGTTGTGTGGCCTTGAGCAAGTCACTTCCGTCTCCTGTTCTGTTGTGTAAGATGCTGATGTTAGATTCCTGGAGCCTCTTTTGCGTGCTTCAGATTCTGAGAATGCATGATTCCTTGAGACGAAGCTGCTGTGATGCAGATTCAGATTTTAAGTGCTGTGTCTCTGTAATGCCTTAAAACCCTGGTTCCCCAGCTGTGAACCTGTCTGGCTGTCTGTATTCATTCTGTCAGCACATTGGTGATGGGGAGTGAGGGAGGGAAGGGGGTGAGAGGTTCTTAAAAAAGAACCGAAGGCTGAGAACATGATGATCTGCTTCCAGCAGCTCTCAGGCAATAAATATTGATGTGGGAGGAATTGTTCCCTCACCTCCTGAGGCTGCCTTGGCAGTGTCTGCTTGCAGTTACTTGGGCTGGCCCAGCCCACTCAGGCCACTGATGGGGACGTGGATGGACCAGGAAGAAGGGTCCAATTAGGCAGAACTGGCTGCCAGAAAGTCCAGGTTCTCAGACATGGTATGCGTATCCTCTGCAGTTAGGAACAAACAGGGGGAGGCTACTTTTCGAATTCCTTTGAACATCTCCTCCCAGGCTCAAGGGTCCCCTAAATACCCTCCTAGAAGTAAATGCAGTGTTTAATGGTATCCAGGAGATGGTTTGTAATATAAAGATTGTGTGACCCAGAGAAGGTCTCTGGCCTTAGTGTCCCTGTCTGTACAACGGGCAGATGATTGGACAAGGTCTGTTAGGTTCAGTGATGTCTCCTCTAAATGGCTCCCTGTCCCTGGAGCAGTACATGAGCACATTCACGGGGGAACAGAGGAGTGCATCCCACAGCCCCACATTCACGGGGGAACAGAGGAGTGCATCCCAGAGCTCCCCAAGGAGCTCTCAGGTAGTAAAGGAAGGCCAGGTGCAGACAGACAGGGCATGTGAATGACAGCTCAGTTTTCTCTCATGACCACTGCTTAGAATTCTCTGCCTAGAACAGAGGAGAACATTACCAGTTTCCACAGAGAACACTAGGAGATGGCGGGTGGGGGAAGCTATAGAGGGCGTGGGAGGAGGCAGGAGCCCTGCTTTCTTGCCTTTAGCTCTGTCCGTGTATCTATAACCTTAGAGCTCAGGTGGCTACCTAGACATCCTCCTAGGAGTGAACCAGGGCAGGTCTCACCTCTCTCTGGGCTTCAGTCAACAATTAGCCAGTCTCTAGGGTCTGTCAAGCCCCAGGACTCCTGGCAGATAGCTCTGCAGACCCTGTGGAGTAAGGATGGTTTCTTAGGGGTTCTCTAGCAGGTCATCTGGCCTCACCTGTCCCTGTGGTGGTAGGGCCCCATTCAGCCAGCAACCTTCCTGTGCCCTCCGTACCTTCAGGTCTTTCCGAGCACCTGTCCCCAAGACTAGCCAGGGGCTGGGAAGGGCTTTGACTATTAAGATCCCCTGCCCCTGCTCAGCCTCTAAGCACCACTTGCCTCTGTTGCCTTTCCTTCACATTCCCTGGGAGTCTCCCTGTCTGTTATCCTAGGGTACCTCTCAGAGTCTGGGATTCTAAGATTCTATGGGTTTAAAGTTCTGTATTTCTAGTAGTTGAAGATTCTCAGGTACTTGTGCTCTATTATTCTAAGATTCCATGCCTCAAATGGTCTGTGATTTCCAAAATTCACATTTCTAAATGGCTAGAATTTTGGCAAAAGAGTCTATGAAATCCATTGTCTCCCAGTCATTAAACTCGATGTGCTTCTTAGGCAGAATGATCAGGGATGGGGACAGGAGTGGGCAGTGGCAAAGGCCTTTAGAGCCCAGGACTTAGGATTGGTTCATTGAGGTCTGCCCAGCCAGAAGGCCCCTGTTCCCCTGGGAGTTTACGCTTCCTCTGTAGCCCCTGTGAAGACCAAGGTGACTTGGGACTTCCTTGAGCCTGATGCTGCTCCCTCCAGATCCCCCCCCTCAACTGGCCTAGGAGCCCTCTTGTGTCCTTCCCGTTTCTGATACTCTAGGCCTTGTGACTCTACCCTTACCCTACTTCTAAGTCTAGAGGGTCAAGTTCGTTCCCAAAGCTTGGCAAGCACCATCTCCTCCTGTACCAGTCTGTACAAGTCCAGG